AGTACGGTCGTTGTAAAACAACCTACGGCCAGACCGGCCGTGTGGCATCTATATCAACGAGATACGACAGCTATGGAGAAAGAGCAACTGTGAAGAGAGACTCGCGGTACAGCTGCAGTACGGCCACTTGAAATACGGCTGCAATGCGCGGGGACAGCCGCGGTACGGTCGCTGCGCGTGCGCGAGTTACGGTCGTTGACAACTGTCATACGCATTGGAACTGCAACGGATCACACGCTTTTTCCGGTAATATTAGATGATTTAATGATGTTAGCTTTGGACTTTTGATTGTGATCAGATTACATTTTTCAAGTACTTGAGATTTTTGTTAACGTAGGATGTGAACTTGAATTTTCCAATTTAATATGAAATGTATCAGTGTTTCATTAAAGCCCTCTCTTTGTACTATATTTTGCCAAACCTGTCCAAAAAGAGAACCTTATTCACGTGCCAATCAAGTGCCACTCGGCAAACCACTTGACAAAACGATAAGCAATGAATACCGGTATCTTGAACCTGAACCTGAACGTAACGTAAAATTGGTGGAGTAATCACTCCGATTCTCCAACTTTAAGATATATGAGACGCTAAGAAACGTCGTCTTCACTCTCTCTTTTCTTATATTATTATTCTCCTATTTAATCAGAGGGGCAGGAGGATGGTGGTGGACTGGAAGCTGAGGGGGCAGGAGGATGGTAGTGGACTGGAAGCTGGAGGGGCAGGAGGATGGTAGTAGTCTGGAAGCTGGAGGGGCAGGTGAATGGTAGTGGACTGGAGGCTGAGGGGCAGGTAGGTGGTAGTGGACTGGAAGCTGGAGGGGCAGGTGGGTGGTAGTGGACTGGAAGCTGGAGGGGCAGGTGGGTGGTAGTGGACTTGAAGCTGGAGGGGCAGGAGGATGGTAGTGGACTGGAAGCTGAGGGGCAGGTGGGTGGTAGTGGACTGGAAGCTGGAGGGGCAGGTGGGTGGTAGTGGACCTGTCTCTTATACACATCTAGATGTGTATAAGAGACAGGATTAGAAGAGCATATTAAAATTGCATAATCATTGGTTGACTATTTGCGAAGTAACGAGCTATTTCGTGCTTATTTATTGGTTATCAATATTTGTTCGTATAAGGCATGGAAGCGCATGTGAGAAGGTGCCAAAACACGTGGATTTATTCATTTATTCATTGTGCATGAAATTCTGTTCATTTGTGTAAGTATTATTTCGATGTCAGAAATTTCATTAACAAAAAATGAGTTGAAGTTATATATGACTTACTAGATTCTTAGGTTTTGGAGAATTACCATTTAGGTTGATCAGTTAGGTCTCCTGCACCAGTTCGGTTCGGCTCGGACGGACCAGTTCGGTCTGGTTCCCACTTAAGTTCTTCTCGAGCGGGGGGGGATTCATGAAATTCTAACGATAGTTAAATTCCAAAAAAAATACCACCCAAACTTTCTACAATTACGATTTTAAAATGATCGATATTTACAGTTTAACAACATATTACATTTTTAGCTTCATTGAAATATGCCTAATGGTGTTAGAGCAGAGTTTTATCTAAAATGCACACGCCGATCCCATATTCTAAAGATAAATTGGACAACAACTCTGAAAAAACAACGCAATGAAGCATTATTGATCTCTACTGATTAGGCTACCAAATTTTTAACTTGTCTGGCGGTGTCAGAATTGAATAACAGAAATAGTGCATTTTGGGAAAGAAACTAACTCATAACTCAACTCCAATTTTTAGTGTGAAATGATTTCCATGTCGAGTTAAGAATATATTACGTTGGCAGATCAATCCGACAATTTTTCCCAAAGATATAAGCAACATTTTCCCTGAAAATAGAAAATCGGGTGAAAAAAAATCACCACAGCACGCTCGTTTTGGTATCAAAATGATTGTTTTGACGATTAGAAGAGCATATTAAAATTGCATAATCATTGGTTGACTATATAAGTAAACCCAACGAAACTTTAAATGTAGCTCTTTGTAAAAAAGAAAGAATTAAAACGCTATCTTTAATACTTTTTACTTTGTGATTTTTTTAAAAGAGTAAGTTCCCACGCCGCACCCAACAGCTGCAGCAGCTGTTGCTGCTGCAGCTGTTATAAGTCATTAAAATCACCCAGGAATGAGTGTTTATGCTATCGATTGCGATTGAAATTTCAGACCATTATTTGTCCAACGTATTCGTTTCACTCTGTGACTGTTTTTTTAAACATTATTTAATTTCCCAAATTGTAAATGCTATACTATGAACAACTTTCCCAATAATTATCAAAACACATGTAAAAACGGCAACGATTTTAGTCTCAATAAATGCGTATTCTGGATTAGTAAGGCAGAAATAGTAAGAACTTCTCACTACCACTCGTGTCATGTTCGTTGATGAAACTTATTCCGATTTTAAATTGCAGTCATCGCAAAAAATTGCGATTATGAGGCATCGGAGGTTCATGGCAGCCATTAACAAACAGCGATAACATTAATTATGAAAAAAATCGAAGACTGTATCGGCATTGACATCTTTCTGTTATCGGCAATGAAAGCCATTGTTGTCAAAAATAAACATATGGTTTTTAGTGAATGAAATCTGTCAATACTATATCTCAATACATAATTAGTTAGTTATTGAAATTCTAAATGACTAAAGCTTATTGTGCCCCACTGTGTGTATTTTTTTCTGGATTTTCCACGTCAATAATTTACAATTTACATTCAATTTCATATATTTCTTTCATTAATTTGCCGCCAACTCATATAATTTTGAGAGCCCTTGCTTTTTCCCACATTTAAAATAGTTTCTGTTCGCAAATAAAAAATTGAGATCACCATTCATAACGCTATTTCGAAAATATATAAGCTGGCCTCATTGAAGCAAAAAAATTTTTTCGATATATGTTCAATTTTGAATTGAACGAAAGAAAATAGCAATCAGTAACACACTGTACCATAGATCCTTAATATACATGTTGTGTCATAACGAATATGCCTTGGTTCATTTACAGTTGAAATTTAATAATCATATGCCATATTTTTTAGTGTCGGTAAAAAAATCTTCGTTCATGTCAATCTTATATTCTCACTTAGAAGCAGAGATTCTGAATTAATTTTTAAGTGGTCATCGTTTTTTGACCATCCAGAAGCTCTAATTTTGTTTTCTCTATATTATGATCAGTCCGATTCAAGGAAATGTATTGATACCGTAAACTTAATTAGAAGTCTTCGAATGTCAAGCCCCACATAGTCATGATAATCATAATCATATGTAGAATATATGGCATGACTGTTTATTCCCGACAGAAATCAACATCAACTTGTCGTGAATGAATTTTTGTTTGTGAAATATTCCTAATGCCAGCACATTTGTATAGTATCTTACAAAAAAAATCGAAAAGTCGACTGCATTTTTCAAATTTGAACTTCCCAGCCGCGCTAAAAAGTGGCCTTCTCATTGTGACCATTTCTGCCAAATCTCAGCTGATTTTCGGATCCAATTTAAGCCAATCACCATTAAAAATAAAAATTGTCAAGTTAATTTGTATTAGTTATTTTCAATTGACCATTTAAGTTTGTTAGCCCTGCAAAGGGGACCAAAACTTACCGTTTGCCTCACTACGTGATAACTAAATGGACAAATATATTCTAACGATGTTCACAGGAGCGTATCAACTGCAATTAAATAGCTTCGTTTTCAAATTTGGTCATAACCGGTTTTGATTTAACGAACTTAAGCCTCGTCTACACGTTCAAACTCATCGCCTGTCGTACATGTCAAGACAAGTTTGACTTGCCAAACGCAAGACTGATGGACCTGCACAAGATTCAGATTAATGTTCAGTTAAATGCTTGGGCAATGTAGGACATTGCTTTGATCGCAGTTTATTCAGGCATAATCAAATTGAATATATTAAGACGCGCGCGGACGGTACTGACGACTAGAAAAATCGCTCATAAAAATTATTTTACGGGAAATACAATGCATATCATGTCGGCAAATTTACTTGCGTATGGACATAGAAATCTAAAATGAATTGTTCTATCTTGTAGCCTTGTAGGTACATAAATACAAATAGCTATACTCTAGTGAAAATTTCCACCAGCTCCCCACGAACAACTACCGTCAGATTTTTGGCAACCAGACAAACCTACAAAGACCCTGAACTTCCTAACTATAATTTCCCAATGAACTTTGAGTGCAATAATACCGGAGAATTGCAAGGTCATTTACAAAGTTCTGCAGACAGAATTCTTCAGGATAAATTAGGTGAGAAATTTATTATCAACTCACTGCTGTATTTTGGCACATTCTTTCCGACAAACTGTGCGGTATAGGTAGATTTTCTTTGTTGCGAATTCCTAGTTAGCCGTAGGATCAATTTCCTTGCCTGTATCACAGTTGCATGGGTCAGAGTGTTTTCGCGTTTGTCTCTGGAGCCTTTCGATTTAATTTCATCCGAACGAGGAAAACATCGATATAGATCTATGAACTTACTAAATAAATCGTGATACCAGTGTTGTAAATCATGCAGTGCCATTTTCTCGTACAAAAATAGAGCTTGCATTAAACAACACAGTTCTCAGCTACAATACAGACATAGATATGATAGAGGGAAAAGCTCGACCGATAAGTAGGCTGCCCGTCTACACGCTCAAACTTAGTCTTACAAACTTAGTCTACACACTCAAACTTAGGACCTCATTGAAGTATACAAGTATACTCATGGTCTATATAAGGTCCCCGAAGGATTACTAGAATTTGAAACAAGAACCAACACCAGGGCCACGGCTATAAGCTAAAAAAACTGCCCTGCAACTTCTGTAGTGATCTCGGCAGTATTGTTAGAATAAGATAAGATGTAGACATCTTGCTAACTCAATATTGTACATATTGTCATCCGTAACAATGGTCAGTAACAACGGTCAGTAACAACAAAAATCATAGTCAACTATAACAAACATAATTTGCGAAGTGTTTTATAATACTTTTAAGATCCGATAAGAACGATTATAAAATTGAACACTAGAACAGCACCCATAGCACAATTTGATACCTAACGATGGCAACATCTGGAGATTTCCCGGAGGCCTATTCCGAGCCCTTCACTCTTGCTCTGACGCCAATACGCGAGGTTGCCACCGTGCCTCCTTAGTAGTTCCTTATAAGTGTTGTGATATCTATACACTGGGTGAGTAGAAATTTATTATAAATGATGTAATCTTGTTTAAGTTGTTTTGGATAAATGTTCCGTGTAGTTATTCTAGCCTTGCGAGTGTTAATTAACTAAGGAAGTCTAGTTGAGATAATCGGCTAGGCTAGAGAGAACGCTCCTAAAGACGGATCTTGACTAGCCCCCAGGCTGATGAAGGAGTGGCTCGTTTGACCACATATTCAAATAGGTGTTGATAGCAAATGGATAAACGTTGTGACGATAATTCCTTATGTAATCATACCTTAACTAGAGTGAGTATTGTTAATATTGAGTGGAAACTAGAGTGAATATTGTCAATGCTGAGTGGAAAATTACTCAGGCCTAAAGTTTCCGAAATGATTGTGGAATTCACACCGGTAGAAGTAATTCCAATGGCTAGAGAGATCATGTTAGAATGTATTACATTTCTCATCCTATTCAATAGTAGATAATTTTGATTAATTACTTAATGTTTCCATTATTGCTATTTTTATCCATTTTTGATTCAGTATTATTGAGGATCTTTAATGTTCATTAATATGGTTTTCATAGGAAAGAATAGGATGAATTTTATTAAACTTTAATTCTGAACCTTGGGTTAATTTAGCATCTGAGATTTGAGTTAGCTTAGGAGTTTAGAAATAACAATGTTTGATGTTGATGATAACTTATCCGTGCCAAGATGAAATAAATCATAGGCGTCGAGACGTTGAGTAACAGCACTAGATTCAGTTAACATGTCACTGTTTTGATAGCAAGTTAACATAATTTTGATTAGCCGTAGATGTTAAATATTGAGGAATTTAAATGGAGCGTAATAAAAATATAAAATAATAATGTATTCTGAATTGATATTAAAATTGCATTTGGATAGTAAATTTAATTGGATTTTGATACAGTTCAATGATATTGGAGTCAAAATATTTCTTGTTATTGTTCAAATTAACTTAATTAACTTAATCCAGAAATGTGTTAGTGGAAGTCATTATTAAATTAAACTAGTATGATATCCTGGTCTACGAAATATTTTACCCATGCCCTGTATTAATGTCGATGAAATATTTTACTCATGTCATGTTCTAATGTCTAACTTTTGTTCGCAGGCCTTATTTTACGTACATGTTGACATCAAACTAATAAACTGAAACTCGGACCAGCATCACCTATTACCCTACCTACATTTAGGGAAGCCTCAGTCAAATATAAAATCGTCAGCACAATATTAAACGAATGGTATTCCCCAATCTTCAGTGAGATTACTCAACTTCCCTCAAGTGTAGGGTAAAACACATTGTACCTGCGTTGGGTAAGTGTAGGGTGTTCCAGTGAATAGTCTTGAATTAAGTAAAGTCAGTAAAAAGTGAGTAAGTTACCAATTGATTGTGAAACATGTCAGCCAAAGTCTGTGTTAGTAAACCTGCCGGAGAATGCCTGGAATGCAACAAATGCAATTTTGGACAATTGGCACTAAGATGTAACACATGCAGACAATTTTGTCACTTCGAATGTTCACTACTTCCAGAATACCAGCTTGCAAGATATTTAAAAACGAGAACATCATTCATATGTAGAAAATGCGTTATGAACGAGAGGTGGGCGGGTGAAGCCATGTAGAGTGTGCAAACAGTTCGAGCGTCTGAGAGAAGAAGGCCTATCATGAATGGGTCTCTCTGTTCGACTAAGACGCGGCTACCCTCAACTCCCCTCGCTCCCTCTTCTTCCTCCCCCGCATCCCTCACTGCTGCCCGACACTGTACTCCGCCTACCCCGACCCTTGACCGCAGCGTTACCCCTCCCCTCTCCTCTTTAAATGCCTCGAACAAGAAGCATTTAACTGTTAAGAAACGCGTTTGCTGGAGATATCTTCAGGGCAAGTGCAATGGGGAGAATGATGAAATGAACTGTAACTATTTTCACCCTAAGATCTGTCAAAAATTTGCAACATTTGGAAGCAAAAACCAACGCGGATGCAAAAATGGGAGAGACTGTCAATATTACCATCCGTTCCTATGCTGGAATACTATCAAAAAAGTAACTTGCAAACGTGATTCAATCGGCAACAGGCCATGGGCCTATGTCTTCAACGCCGACACTTCTATTCTATTCTATTCTATGTGAACGCAACGAGCCACCCAAGCGGTTCCCGCGTTCTCAGCTAGCGCGGCATCGTCAGCGTCGTACCAGTGCGCGTCTAGAGCTCGAGCGAGTATATGTGTTGCTCCGCGAGCCCTCCCGGTGTTACCTTATAATATGATGCTATAGCTTGTTAAGCCTATTGTACCCATGTATTCCTCAATCGTCTTTACTGTGTATGATTCCAGAATTCGTGTTTCCAAATTCATGTTATTAAGTGCATATTAAAGTTGACACTGTGAGTAACGCTGCGTCTAGACATTGTTGGCGGCCATTATAACGAACATTTGCTAATGGGCTCCTACATCATAGTTGATATATATTTTATAGTATGAATTCGTCTAGGAGTACTTATTTTGAAAGAATTATTTGCTGCATAATACGTACTGATTTGATATTTTGTAGGCCATTTGCCTCACCTTTGCTGTTTTCGCTATTTGAATGTTACTTAGCAATGTAGCAAAGACGCTTTTCCGTTTTCTTCGACACAATCTCATAGAAAAGTTCTAAGGATACTACTTCGTTCTCCGCTTACAGCCTCATCGAGCCTTACTGGCGAGTGCCGACATACGTTTCTTTCAGTCTTCTTTAATTTGAAGCATTTTAGGTAATTTTAAGATAGTGTCCTCTAAAGTTTATCTCTAATCTCATTATTCCAGGTATCGTAATCAAAGTTGAAGCCCAACCACAGCCGTTGGCTCTAGAACAGTACGCAAGCCCAACTTCGCGTTGGCACTATTATCGAAATCGAATCCCAACCTAGGTTGACGCTATAACTGTAATTAAAGCCCGACTCAGCGTTGGAAAATTTAAGCCTAAGAAATTAAACGTCAACATTAGGTATATCTGGCCCAACTCATTGAAGCCCGGAAACGTTAAACGCAATTATCATCAAAGTTGGCGTCTCTTCTTCTCGCCTGCCAAAACCACCTCGCGTGAGTAACAAATTAAATATCGCCGCCATGCCGACATAAACAATTCCTGTCATGCCAGTTGTAATGATGTTATCGAGAACTCGAGAAGTCAATTAATAACGTTCATCTATTCTATAACGTTTAGCACTTAAGTCTAAACAATGAGTCAAGCCTCTGCCTAGTGTAAGTTTCATGTAAGTCTTTCTCGACCTATTAACTAATATTAAATCTTATTTCCAGCTTACGTCACCCAAATGAAATAAACGGGAGAAAACACCGTGGAATTATTTTCTCCCGTTGAGCCACAAGTTCGTGTCACCAAATATTATTATCTATGATATCAGCAAGCAAACGAACCAAGGAGCGTATTTATTCAACACTCATCTTCTTGCTCGCAGATTCAAAGCCTCCTACTCACAGATTCGCTGAGTCAGACTCGTGTCAAAGCGAACACTCTTGGCAGGGCGGCGCTTGTTCAATATTTGCCGACGCATAAATGCGCGTGGTTTAATTTTACGCGCCTTGAGTGCATGAATTTGCATTGATTTTGTGATTGTCATGATTTTGTGTGTTGAGGTGACGTATATATGCAGACGCGTTGAAATAATGGTATTACTACCAGAATTTGTTTGAGACTTTTAATGCTGAATAAATGATTGATTTCAGACAATGCTTGTGTCGGGATTGGTTTGTTGATGTAACTGTGACCGATGCATGCTTTATATTCAAAATAATGGTATTCTTACCTAAGAGGCAAAATTGTGTTGTCTGTTAATTAACCACAACCTCGACCATCCCAGTAAACATTGTTCTCTTTTCACCTATGATCAATGTTATTCCTACCGGAACATCGAAATTTATTACAAAAATCGTAGGCTAAAAACCAATAAGCATTTGACGTCTACATTGAATCTTGCTCAAGCCAGCGATTGATCGACATTTCAACGTTATTCGTACGGGGACTGATAGATATTTTATCTCTAGGGCCGTAATAAAAAAGGATTTTAGCTAGGATAATGTTATTCATACGAAGACTGTGAAATGGGTGTTATTCCTATGGGGATTTTGGAACAAATCTTATTCCTACGGGGAATACGGAACACATCTTATTCCTACAAAGATAATGGGACAAATCTTATTCCTACGGGGTCCGTGGAACCTAATCTTAATAAATCTTTTCCCGTAAGAACAAGATTTATTCCAACGGGGACTATAAAAATTATTCAGCAGCAGCGTGCCAGCCTTATCATCACATCATTCTCACGCTGAGCCTCAGCTGTGCGATACACCCAGAGCAATAAGTGGAACTTTGTCCTAATATATCAATGCCCTTTTTGTCCTTGTCTGGGTCATCCTGACCCAGTTTAGCCCGGCTAGAAGACCCGCTCTACACACGCTATTTTGTCACTATTTCGATTATTTGAGCCATACAATTTAACCGGTGTTCATATCTACATAACGTTACCGATTTGTTTTCTTCTAATAAAAATTTTGATAATTTTTTGCGGTGGTTTTTAATTTTAACAATGCTTAAAATTTAATTGAATGTATTTTAGATTATCATTAAAAAAATTTATCATTGTATGTCGTCATTACATCTTATTGGACTGAACTATCAAAAATATTTAGTGGCTGAGAATATTTATTTAAAATAAATTTAAAATGTTTAGTTTAAATTTAAAATATTTAGTTTAAATTCATTTGGAAAATTAAAAAAATTAAATAAGAAAATTATTAAATCAAACATGAAAATTGTGCAAAACTCATTCTCTTATCCTTAATCAAGCTTGCATTAAGGAAGAACCTCTGCCGAACTTCACAAAGAAGAATATGTGTATATAAATTAACAAATTTGAATGAATCCTCAAATTCATTTAAAAATTGAATTTATAAATACGCATTAATCAATTAATGAAGTGTTCAATTCGCTATATGGCCAGAGATTTCTATGAGAAATTCCAATATGTAATTTAAACATATGAAATAATTCAGCAAAGTGTTTAGTTGAGCTCATTCAAAATTAGCACATAAAATGCATATGCAATAAAATATTGAAAATTAAACACTTAACGCTGCAATTTGGTCATTGATTATAAAACTAAAGACTTCCGCATAGTGGAAATTGACTTCCGGATATTGTACGAATTTCAATTGGAGAAATGAGTGGCTCATATTGTCCAATTAGTGTCCCACTTTCTCACACAGCACGAGCAGGGAGCGCACGTAGCACTGATACGCCCGTTTGCAGGGAGAAATTTGGTCTGGATGACAAAAGTGTATCGTTATTTGGACAAAATCTCACTTATTTCGAGTGATATACGCATTTTAACAGGCTTATATAATTATATTAATTTATTATTAAAGACGACGTACGCTTTGGGAATTATCTGAATAATATCACTAATAATAATATCCATGATGAAGAATAACGCTGCGTAACAATAATAAAATATTGAAGGCAATAATTGTAAAAATACTAATAGTATTAATATATTAATAAAATAATAATAACAATAATTATAATAATCATAATAACAACTGTAATAATAAGAAGTAATAATAATGATAAAATAATAATAATATCGCAGCCGTAATTTCAACTTTAAATTCCCCAAAAGTGCCGAGGGTTCGCCCTAGCCTCCCCTCCTGAGGACCACAAGGCCCTAGCCTCCCCTCCTGAGGGCCACAAGGCCCTAGCCTCCCCTCCTGAGGGCCACAAGGCCCTAGCCTCCCCTCCTGAGGGCCACACTGTCTCTTATACACATCTAGATGTGTATAAGAGACAGATGTCCGGGGGATATCCAAGCACGATGTCCGGGGGATATCCAAGCAAGATGTCCGGGGGATAGCAAACAAAATTGATGTCCATTCAATTTCAGCTTGCAATTGGAAAAATTTTGTTATATTTTATTTAGAAATCCTGAAAGAAATTGGAACGCAATTCTTGAGCGAAAAATGATGATTTACAAAATTTAGCTGAACAGTTTGAGATATTTTATTATGTTTCGAAATACTGATAGGAAAGTGAAGACAATAATTCTTCAGTGGATAGCAATGATTTAAAAACTTTTAGTGGATCAATTTGAGATATGTTATCACATATTAT